TGATCTCCTTTCGAAATTTAAATCAGGGTTCCTCGCGAGGCACACCTTGGCGATCAAAAGGGTTCACACTGATTAGCGTAACCCAGCCTCGTTTTGGTCCACTGCCTTGACGCAGTTATTCGTTTTGAAGGCTTACCTCTGGACATAATCATTGGACTCTACCAGAACAACAGCGTGTCGCGGGGTTTGAGAGTTTTGTGTCGCACGACCACCAGGCTTGATCGCAGCGTAAGCCAAGGCTCGAAGTAAGTGTACGACAGGTCCGAAACGGAGTGAAGGATGAGTAGCAAAAATCAGACATGGTGTTGCGGGCCAACTACCTCCAGACAGACCGGGCTGAGATTCACGCGTGCCGAGTGGAAACGAAGCCAGACCATTATTCAGTCCCGTAGACGAGGGCGTCCCCGCTGCCCCCGTGGTAGGCAGCGTATTCCCTGGGATAGAAGAGACCGAATGAGAGTCCGGGGATTGCGTCTGACCATTTGTGAGACCGCCGAGCAGCGGAGGTGAGGATCGACCGTATATGGGGGAGACGGAAGTGATCAAGGAAGTGGACAAATCTTTGGCCATTGGAGTTTCGTGTAAACTGCGCACGGCAATCAGCTGACCGGATCGTAAAAGCTGTTTGGAAAATTAACAAATTATGGTAAAATAATGAAGGTGAATTCACAGGTGGTGTAAACAATCTATTCTGCGATTGCATTACTTGCAGCTGCGTAATCTGTAATCAAAGCCGTATTTCCCAATGGTATAGTCTACTATGTATCAACTGAGTCTTCCAACGACTCCCCAAATCCGATTTGAGGAATGACAAATGTTCGAATTGCCCTACAACTAGAGGATGTATCTTATAGGTCGACCAACCACTGGGCAGCACAGGTATTTTATTACAAATATACTTAATCACAGAATGTCAGTAGAGGAACATTTTTTAGTCTTTTTTACCTGTACAGAACAGTCCAATGATGTTCGCGAAGTCGATCGCATTATTTTCACTAATTTAATTATCTCAAAGGTTAACCTAAGTATTTTCAGATCCGTAGAGAAAAATCTAGATATAAAGATATGGAGTGGGTGAGAATATGGACTATACACCGTCGACCAAGTCTAAAAACAACCTGATTCTCAAGTGTGCACTTTTAACGTCCGGCATATAAACGCCGGAGGATGATGCTAGCGGGAAGTTTAGAGACAATGCTGATCAAGGTAATTCCTCTGTGGTATTTAAAAGAGGATCTACCACCTACGCTGTAGATCGCTCAGATGAACGACTCACATCAGTTAGTGGGAATCTTTTCGCTATCCCATACTGAACCCAAGAGTCTCGTCAACTTCCGGAACCTACACTGACCCACCATTCCTAAAAAGCGATGGGCACAGCCCATCCGGACAGGAGGCCTTATGTCTTTTGAGATAACTTATTCCCCTGGAAACCTTCAGTTCATATGCAGGACTGATGTCAACTGGCAATAGTGGCCCAGCCGATATAGGGGATGATAGAAATGTCGTTGATCGGCGCTAGTTGAACTAGGCCTCGAAATATTTAGCCCAACTTTCAAGACGGCGTTGCTGACTGTGAATCAGTGTGCCGTCAGACTCCTCACACGTACGACTATTTTCCTGGGAGTATATTGCTAATTAAACGGAAAAGATTGCGAGTATTACCGATGGCCACAGCTTTCTCTAATCTTTGCACTTTCCAACCGACTACTACTAGCGGTCATTCTTCATGCATTTATTGAGAGGGCGTTTAGGGAATTTACGCGTATTGTCGTATTTGACATCAAAAGGAATGGCTTTGCGAGTGTCCAGCAGGGCAGTCGTGGGCGAGGAGATCCTTCGTTTTGTTTTGATTGACATTTGAATAGCTCCGTTTGTTAACTGTCCAGTACTCACTGAGTCCTTCGGCTGATGGTTGAGTGAAGGGCGAACAGAGAGCTCCGCTTCCAAGAATGACTTACCATTACCGCTAAGAATATTGTGGTTATCCGTCCATTTCCAGTGGCTTTTCGGTGGTGGTTTACTAGAAGGAGAAAGAATCTGGTTCGCAGCGGAGTATGGTCCGTGCCCCTGGATGTTGACCAGTAAGGACAGCAATCCATAATGGATTCCTGTCAGCAGGAATTGATGGCGATGTGATCCATTTGAGTCCACCACTGTGAAGAAGTTGGCGATTTGCATATAACGCGGTATCGTTTCTTGCGTGAAAGGTTGGTGTTTGCCAGGAACTGTTCGTGGTCAACGCATAGTTGGATTAGGAGCTCGCCCTTGTCCGTCCGGTTGGTTGCCATTACATGTGAACCGCCAAGTAGCCTCTCTGATGCGTCCAGGGATCTCCAGCGATTGTCACGATGTCCCTTGATCGGGCACTTTGGAGCAGTTGAGGCAAGTTCTGGTAGAATTCATCCTTTATTTCTGGTGAACTGCAATCGGTCGGTGCATACAGCGACACAACGAACCACCATCGGCACTTTGTTTTGTAGCTGTTGACCCGTATTGAGTTGTTGAGATGTACAGCACACAGTCAAGAAGTGAACGATCGGCCTTGACCCTTAGCGCAAATCCGAGGCCAGCAATACCGCCAGCGTCGGATGCCGAATCACCCAACACACGGTGAGTGAAGCGTGAGGTTGGTTCTGAACAGCGCAGATGATAATTTAAGTCTTGCATGCGTGTTCCGAAGACACAGTATGCATCTAAATTAAGAGTTTCAAAGGTTCTAGCTAAGGCAGCTTGTTGACCGATCTGAGGCGTTGTGCGGATATTGAGTGCCATGTCTTCAGTCTTCAGGATTGAGGGCAGGATACCCGTGTAGGCCCCATCACCACTGGGCCGAAGGTCCGATCACAAGTGTTCGTTCCTTCAAAACCCTTTCAGGTGCTCAACCAGACGCCGTTTGAAAGCAGTGTCTGTCTTCTCTTCCACCACAATCGCTGGAAGGGAATTCCAGAGTGTTGTTGACCTACGCGGA